TCAACTTCATTATTATTAAGTTCACTACTGCTGTTTCAGATGGCTCCCTCTTTCAGGGTTTTGGCTAAAGGTGCTTTACAAATTAGAGGTCAGGTTGGTACTCCATGATTTTTTCATTTTTCCTTCAATGTCCTTTTTTTTTTCTGTTTAATAAATTCTACAGTGATTCTTTCTGAAACTGAAAACATTTTCCTAGTTTTCAGTATTCACAGTTGCCCTCTCCCAGGCAAGGCTTCTTCAGCAGAAGATTCTCTCACCCAAGGCGGAGAAGACACATGTCATGTGACACAACCTGCACATCAGAACATTCCCTGGCAATGCCACTGCCCTCCATCACAGGGATCCTATGGGATGCCCCACTGCCTCCCACAATACCTACCACCAGCAGTAATCAATCCTGTGTATGACAAGCACCACTTTTCCTGCAAATTAATGAGCAAATATGATAAGCTTTTAAATAAAATGTAGCAAAACACAATTTGCCATAAACTGTGTTGGCCACAAAGCCCCTTAAAATCCCAAGAGATCATACCTACTTCGGCATGTGTACTGGGTAAATTTACACAGCAGTCTAAGAGTGTGATTACAGCTTCAGAAAACATACACAGTTTTACAAACACACAGAGTTTTAATCTACCTGGCTTAGTGACAGCACCAGATATCTTACTCATATCAATTACCAAATAAATCTCTTTAAAGTAAAAGAAATATTTTCTCTTCTGATCAAGCATATATGGATGACATTAAAGACAGATAACATTGTATCCAGAGAGCTATGCCCAAGAACTGGCCTAGGAGTGCTGGCTAATTAAGCAGTTAAGATGTGCAGAGAAAATCAGACACAGAAACAAAAAATCTCTGGATATGTCAAATCCTGCGCTGTCTCTAACTAAGCTGTGGCAAAAGGATTCCATTCATTACTAAAGAGAGCACTGATGATTTTACCACTAAAGCAATGACTCACTGCCTCGGTCTGCTCCCTTTCTTCAAGCTTCATCAGACAAACAAGTAGCCCGACTTCTTTCAGAGGTGTTAAAGGCAATTTGAGCTACAGGTACCTAGCAATAAATCAGCTTTTTTGCTTTTCTGTCTAAATACATGTCCTTAAATGGCAAGACTATGAATTTCCTCTTCATAGGCTGTGATGCTACTGCCAGGGCAGCAGCATTTGTAGTGGGAAGTTCAGTGGTGTTCCCATGAAGCCACAGGGTTGAGTAAAGACACAGAGAAAACACCCACTTATACTGAAATGTGTTTAATGTACTCATGTGCCTATGATGCAATGAAGACACGTCTTTGGAAAGATCTATGGTGATTTCTACATGGACAGACTAAAAGTTTTCATTGCGACTCTGTGCCCCAGGTACCTGTGTTATGTGAGCTGCTTCAAAGTGGCTTGTGGCCTCAGCAGAGCACCTGGATGATGTTTGCCAGTAATTGTAGCTATTCCTACTGCTCCACCTCAGCAACTGATGGTGATATGCCAGGTCTGGAGCAGTGTAGACCCCATGATCTGGGTGTGGCTTGTGTCCTGACTGGCAGGGAGTGAACAACTGAGGACGATAATGAAAATTCTCCTTCGAAACCTGAGTTAATGAGTGGCCAACAGCAACAAGTGAAGTAATTTGCTCTATTAAAGAAAGAGGATTTTATGCTGTACGTGCCAGTTATACAGAGAGAGACAGACACCATGGCAACAAGCTTGTCACGCAGTAGCAGGGCACTACTTTAAGATTAACTATCACTGGGGACATCGTTAGTGGTAGAGAAACTTTGAAAGCCTTGGAATTTGGGTTCCTTATGCACCCAGGATCTCACTTGCTTTTATGGAATTTGAATCCCCAGTCTATAGACTTAGCCTGGGATACTGGCAATAGGAGGCTGGGATGTTGGATGCATCCTGAAAAACAGGAAAAGAAAAATTGTCACTATAGTATCTCAGTGCTTCCAGGCCTGCCAGTTTGTCTGAACTGTATGGAAATGAAGAACAAAAATGTACCATTGAGTCAGGTTTAGCAGGTTTGTCTGAAGTAAAGAATGAAAAGGAGTTGGAAAAGGACTGCTCCTTCTGTGCTTACTCATATGCCATGTATCTGATCATTAGCCCGCAGTCATGGAAAGGAGAGATCCCTCTGTAAATCTCCCATTCAGGGAGGGCGAGCAGGTGATAAATAATTGCACATACAATGTTGATTCTTTTTATTCTCATAGCTCATAGGCAGAATCCCAAATACCCGTGATTGTCTTGTACCTGATGCAGACATTTACTCTGGTGCAAAGCTGGTGTCAGATGCTGATGGGGAAGGATTTATACCCATGGGAAGTTCCTCTACAGACAACCTACAAGGCAATTAGTGTACAAGGCATTTGGAACTCTGAATGTGGTCTAATTTGAATCTCATTTTACAGGAGCAACATACAGAGTTTAAGTTTCCAGTTCATGAGGCTGCAGGGGAAAGTGGAGAGAGAAAGGAAAGACTGAAGAGCTGTAGCAGAGTTTCTGTGGGAGTCTCTTTTGCCCCACCATATCTACAAAGTGCTGAAAATGCCATGCAGCACGGTTTTCATAGTGACAGGGAACATATCACAAATTCATGAACCTTTGTGACTTGCCTGCGTTATAATTCCCCATGACTGAGCTACTCAAATCTAAAGAGAGCTGCAGTGCTTCACAGCTCCAAAAATGAAGCAGAGCCAACATGCAGGGTATAAGAGTGCAGAGGCAAGATGCCCAAGCCCTGGCTCAGCTCACCATGCCCCATTACTTCCATGGGAGCTGCTGCAGGCATTATAGTGAACAGCTATTTTAGCCCCATCAGGACTAACTGGGAGAACTGATGAGTGCAGACATTTGCTCAGCTTGCAGCACAAGGAAGGAAAATCAGGTGGACATTAATCATCTTTTTGCAGATGCGTCAAGTAAAAAGGAGGAGCGCGTTCAATCCCATGAAAAGGCTTATTTTTGAGCAGTTGTTCCCTCAGACCTGATAGCCAAGTGCTGTGCTCAAAGAACAAATGAAAGAGGACGTGGGTCCTCTGGAGCTGCCTGCTTCCCAAAGATAAAGGAAGATGAAGTGCAGCACTCTGCCCATCCTGTACAGGAGGGTGAGAGTCATTGAGATAACTGTGAGAATTATTGTGGTGGGGGCATCTGGCTTGATGTAAAGGGAGAAAAAGTGGGACCATGCAGTGGATTTCTGCATATGTTTGCATTTCCCAGTCCTATGGAGAGAGGCCTCTTTGACCGTAATTGGAATGAACTCAAGAATAGCACATGTGAGCAGAAAGCAAATCTGAAGCTGCAAGCAGTCAGCTCACCCTGCTGCATGGTTAGTAAGGAGACGTGTTGCATACTCAAGGTATAGGGCAGAGAAGGACACGTTCGTTTTACTGAACAGGCAGAGCATTCACCAGAAAATTCTCAAGGTTTTGGAGACCTCAGCTTGCCCCAGGTAGCTCTGTCTTCCAGGCAGGTGGAGGTACATAGATGTCTGTTGTTGGTCTGCAGGCAAATATCTGCCTTGAAAAACTGATGGCAACCTATGACAGCTGCATGCATGTCATGGTCAGTGACACAGGCAGAGGGACAGCATGGGGAAAGTGGTTCCTACTCTGGCTGCTTTTATCCTACAACCTGAACTGGGAGAGGACCTCTAAATGAGCAGTAAATATCATCTATTAGAAAGGCAGAGCCATGCACTGAAACAGGTCACACATCCCTTTTAGTCAGACAGCTGTAGCCAGCAGCAAAAAAAAGGCTGGGAGATGTCAAGTGGAGATTTGGGGTTTGTCATGAGGAATTCTGCATTCAGAGATTGGAACCAAACAACAGGTTTCCTCCTGCTCAAAGAAAGAGCTTAGGAATAAGCAGGTATGGAGGATCCAGTGTCCAGGATTTTTGAACACTGCCTCTTTCAAACACAGCACTGAAGAGAAAAGGGAACAGAGTCTTGTCCCCACATCTGCCTTGGGGACACAGATTTCTGCCTTCACTCCTTCCACTCCCAAGTAGAAGTGTCAAATACATATCATGACCATGACATGCATGGTTTCATCAGATCATTACTGCAAGTTACAGAAATATTTTCTGATTGCTAATAAAGACTGCTAGATTGTCTTGCCAGCATTACTATGCTATTACTCTTTATAATACTGTGAAATTCAATGTAGAGAGGTTTTTTTAAAGGACAAATGTTTAACAAGCTCTTAGAAGAGCATAGCACTGTTAGCCAGTGTAAAGTTTAAGGCAGTTGAAGCCAGTTAGCTTCAGTTTCTTCTTTAAATAATGACCCACATTAGCACATCCCTCACACACTCAAGCTCCTAGACCTCCTACATTTAAATTTTATGGTCCTCCCCTCACCCTTGTCTTCTTGAGATTCTGAGCTCCAGTCACTCACAAAACTAAAACTCCAAATCCCATCTTCGGGCATGCATATGGACAAGTATTCATAGGAGAAGATCTCAGCTGAAATAATTGCAGAAAATTGCACATGACCTACCATTCTCTCTCCTCCTCCTGGAAGACTGAGCCAAGACTCGTGGAGGAGTGCCATCACATTTTGCTGATTCCCAGTTCACGCTCAGGGCTGTGTCTATGCCCAATTCCTCTGTGTGCTCAGCAGCTCATCATCTGCCTCCGAGCTCCTCACCCCCAGCTTCTGCAGACGCCTGGCAGAGCCACAGAGGACAATTGTCTGCTGCCAGAGCAGCAACACAAATTTTGCCCACACTCTTGAGCATGGGTTTCTCTCTGTAATGCATATGCTGGATGTTGCAGGCAGTGGAGATCCCTTCCAGGATTTTGAACACTGCTGAACTTTGATGCACAGTCAGAAGTCAAATGAAAGCCCCCTGGGTCCATCTGTGCTAAGTCAAAACTTGGGAGATTTCAGCATGACACAGAGCAGTACTCTTTAGGCAGAAAAAGTAAAAGAGGTCAGTTTGGGGGTTGTCTGTTTATTTGTTTATCTTTCTATGTTTAAGAATGCATTTATTTTATAGCTGACAGGAGATCATTTTTAGTGGCTTAAAATAACTTGCCAGTAGTAAAAAAAAGTTTCTCTCTCATTTTTTCATAACAAAGAGATGCCAAACAAATGGTTCCATGTTCAGAAGAGCCTCAGAGGTCTCTGCTGAATTGATCAACCGTGGTTCAAACCAGTGTGCAGCACAGCCACTGAGGGAGAAACAGAACAAGGAGTCAGGCCATCTGGAAGGTCTACAGAATCCCACTGGGGCACTCTACCATGGCTCTGGGAGAACAAGCTGGGAAAGGCTAGAGTTGCATTTTAATCTCTTATACGTGAAGGATCCATCTGCTCTGGAACTTTAGGGAAATCTATTGCCAGGATCAGCCTCAGACATTGCAAATGAGGTCTCTTCCAAAGGAAGACCAGTTCTCCAGGGCAAGCTGGAGAAACCTTCAACTTTCAACCTTGAAAAATTCTAAGATGGGTGTATGGAATGTACAATTTCAGCTAGATTTCACTAACTGTGACTGAGGGTCACAGGGCTTCCTAGCCATCCTCCTCCCTTCGAGCCAGTCTTCAGCTGAGAGGACTAATTGGATGGACCACTTGGGGCTCTTTCCAGCTGTTTCCTGAGATATATTTGTATTCTGCAAAGGGAAGACTCAAGCTGATGCCTTTTATAACAGCTTCAACAGGAGTAATTTGCATTAAAAACCATGTGGGGAAAAAAAGACCTGGCATCTTAAAAGGTTTCTTCTAATTCTGGCAGGTTGATCAGTACATTTTCTGCCAGACAAGAATAGTTCCCTGCTGTGTGTTTTCTAATGAACTGACCACTGGTCTCTAAAAGAAGATAGTGAAATGCACTGTGTAAGCATCTTTTCAATCAGCCTTAGGAGCTCTGCATGTATCTTTACTTTTTCGCTCATATAAGGTAAATGTTCATTCTACTAATTCAGACAGGCCTTCTGAGCTAAGAACCTTTTCACATAAACTTGCTCTTTGAATCACTATCACATTTACCTTATAATAGTGATTAAAACACTTACAATAGTGATTTTGAATAAATATATTTTAGTGTGGTCCATTGCTGCAGCTTGAAAAGGTGATATTTCAATCTGACTAGCCTTACCTCAGCCAGAGAGAGCTGGATGACTCCATTCTTGTCTTTATCCAGGAGATGGAACACTTCTGAAATGCAGGATAGGGAAGAAAAAACTTGGAAATAAACCACAGAGTTTGGCATGTAGAGAATCACTGTCTGACAAAATGTAAAGGTCTGGATTTTTGCCATGACCTGCTGGAAATCTAGACTGGTTCTGTAAGATTACAGCTGTTCTTCTTTTCTAAGCTGCTTCATGGGGCAGAATAGATCTACAGCAGCAAACTAAGAGTTGGCAGCAGGACAACTATAAAATCTGATGTGGTAGCACCTGGTATGGTCTGGGGACAAACCTGTAAATCTGGTCTGAGTAAGGACTATAAACAATAGATGGTACCATTTATAGGAGCTGGGACAATGTGGGAACCAGAGCACTGACCACAACTTACTGATGATTCTAAAGCAGAGGAAAATGGTATTATATGTTATGGAAACATGTCCATGGTCTTCAGACAGAAAGGCTTTTGCTGTTTCTCTGCTGATTTCTCCAACAGATGGACCCAGATACAATTTTGCTGGCATGCTGACATTTCCATTCAATTTGCTACATTCACAGTTAAAAGACGCCAAAGTCCAAAGTTTTCAGGAATTCCCCTTGGCTGATGAACAGAGGCACTTACTGAACAGGGTCTCCAAGCGGATCATACAGGCCACAAAGCCATCAAAGTCGATGGTCAACTTGCTGCAGGCGTAGCGGGTGACGATGCTGTGCTGCACCTGATCGTTGAGCGTGAAACCTGAAGGCAGGAAAGCACAGGAATCTCTGACACAGCACATTAATATGCTGTCTTTGATGTGATTTATCCCTGGGCTGCTGCAGCTGCAGGCAGACCTGGTTGAAGGTCAGAACTATTCCTTTCAAAAGGCCTGTTGGACTCCATCACCTACCTCTGTGGGTCCTTTCCAAAAGGAATTGTGCCATTGTGCTGGGTGAAGAGAGGCATAAAGTTCTCCCACAGCATTTTGTCAGACTGCATATTTCACATTGTTTCACAGCATAACCAGTCCTATGTTCCCCAGATAAACCTCTAATTAGTGAGTCTTGGCACTGCAGCTGAATAGCAGTGATTGCAGCAGAGCCAATTGCTCACATAACACATTGGGCTCTATTCAGGCCCATATTAGTGCTATTTCTGTCTCTGGATCATTCACATAAACTCCACCGAGCACAAGACAAATCAAAAAAACAGTGCTCCTCTCGATGCCCCCGAGCTGGCAAGCACTGCTACAAAAGTTAATAGTACACATCACAGAGGACATCGCTTGGGCATGCCTTGATCAGGCTTGCACCTTCTCTAGTGTAGAGAAAGGTGGTGGGAGGAAACGATGGAAAAAGAGAGTTTGGGCATAGCTCTGAAAGAGGACAATTAGAATTAGGAAATAATGAGGCCGAAAATAGAGCAAGTAATAATCAGATGGATAAGCAACAGTCACAGCATGGACAAAAGTATCAGTGGTTCATAATGCAGAACAGAGGACAGGGTTTGATGTATATAACAGCAAAAGATACAGCAGTATGTGACTCTCAGGAAGGGAGAATGGCACTGGCAGTGCTGTGATCTAGGTGACGGGAGAGAAGAAAAGCCGTTAAAAGTCTCCACTGTTCTTCCAATGTTTGGTGATCTGGCAGTGTTCCCGAGCAGCACACTCACCTGCCTCTCTGAGGGCATTTCGCATCTCATGGGAGTCCATGGTACCAGAGTAGTCCCTGTCCACTTTCTTATAGATTGCCTGCAGCAGAGGGGAAGAAGGGAATACGGAGAGGGCACTTGTGTGTGCCCACGCAGCAATGTGATGGTGTGGGCACAGGGAGGCAGGCTTGGGCTTTCCCAGCTGGGTCACAGCAGCAGTGAAGACATGTTAACACAAGGCTCATCAGGGGTTAGAAGCCAAAATGGACTAACCAGAGGGCTCCTCTAAGGTTTAACCTTGGTTTGCTAGTCCACTCTGCAGTCTGTGCTGTGCCATCCTCCCTGCTCATGTAGCTAGATTAATGCAGGGTTAACGCCAGGACAATCATGCCCACCTCTGCTGTGTCCACAGTCACCGTTGTGCAGGCACAGCCTTGGGTTTCTGATGGCTGGGACAAGGGTTGCCCCTACCAGCCCAAGCTCCTACTCTTTGAAACATTAATGAGGAAGGGAAACATTTCAAGTAGCTGGCAAGCAAGGCAGACTGGGAAACATGTTCCCATGGGCTGGCAGCCTGCCTGCCTTCATATTATATGGTGGCAGACAGGCCATTGAGGAAAATACCCATCATTTGGCAAACACTGCAAGAGAGAAAGTTCATTTTGCTTCATGTTTCGGACACGATGACAGATGCTTCCTACTGCCAGTGTGTTTATTATCCAGAATTAGATGCCACCTAGACCTACAGATAATACTTGATTTGGGTCTCAATGCTTGCTTTTCTGACAATCCCTAGGATAGAGCTAGGGCCTCATCAAACTCCAGGACAGATGCTCTGTGATGACCAGCATCAAGTGTGGTGGCAGTAGGCTTGTCTGAAAGGGATGTCACACAAAGAAGGTGCAAAATTGACCTTCCTTTAGATTGCTTGATTCTAGGTGAACTTCTTGGGATATTAAATGCTCTGCCAGAAAAATAATTCAGCATTTCTACAAGATTTAAAAAATAAAAAACAGGGTTCTGTAGGTCCTAAAAATATGTTTCTTGTGTTTGCTTATGCCCAGCCAGCAATGCAGCATATTGCAACAGCAGAGATATGTTCATATGAGCTTTAATAGAGCAGGCAGCAGAGAGAGCTGTCTTTGCCAACAATGAAAGAGTGTTAATCTGTCTTTCCATAAGGAGAGTGGTGGGGCCAAGGAGAAAGAGAATTTGCTTGTGCACTGTTGAATGAGTGGTGTTTCAGAGGCCTGGAGCAAACTCCAGCCGGGAGAAGGAGGACTTCAAACTATTTCTGCCTGTGATGGTTTAACCCTATCTCAGTTTTGGATCTGTACTTCAGAGCTGAGAGGGAAGGTGAGACAGTCAGAAATGTTATGTTACCAAATACTTCTGAATCTTCATCCAAAGTGTCTTGAATTCTAGAAGTCCCAAGGTGCCGGTCCCATCAGTCTGGGCCATGTTAAGGCATAGTTCAAAAATCAGGATTCCTCTATCCTTAACAAAACTGGAGAACAATCACTTCTGATAAAAACATATCACCCATCACAGTGTCATCTTAATGCCAGTTTAGTTCTAATTTGTAATGCATCTCCATCTCCCACAGACATGCCCACAGCTTTACATTTGCTTAGCTAGAGGCATGCCAAGAATTTCTAGGCTATCTGCACTCTCAAGGAATGATATATGGGATTGCTAAATATATAAGCATGATTAGATCCACTCACATTTTTTACAGTTAACAGTAGATTAGAGTCCTCAGGGAAAAAAGACTGGCCTCACAATGGACAATTTTTAGAAACCAGAGGCAGGCACTGCAGGGGAAGAGAGAGTCAATAGGAGGCTAAAGTCTTCCTCCTCATCCTTCAGGGACTTGAACATCCCTTCCAGTCGGAAATTATGCAGAAACGGGGATCTGGAGTCCATGACACTGTACTTACTGAGTTTCCCATTAGCTTGGGGAGCCTTCTCCTAACGGCCAGTTATCCACAAGATCCACAGCTAATCCCTGCTGGCCTCAATATGACCATACCATGAGACCAACATTAGCATGATCCTGGCAGCATGGGTTTTGACTCTCCCAGTGCACCTTCTCAGCACATCAAAGGAGCACTAGCACATGTGTTTGACCTCTCCTTTTCCCTTGGCTACTTAAACCTTATTAGCTCCCATGTGTCCTCCCAGCTGAGCAGAAGGGAGGGAGGCACAGCATGCACTTGTAGCCTTCCCCCTCTGGAAGGCTCCCCAGGCTGTCTCTGCTGCTGCAAGCTCAGTGCTCCATAAGCTGGACCTGACTTAGAGATGAGGATGTGATTAAAACCTGTGTCCTGACAAGCATCAGGTGCATCCAGCCAGAAAGTCCCTGTTTCTTCTCCCTCCTATTTTTAGGGAAAAGTTTAAGCAATGAGACATGCAGAGAAGGTGAGAAAAGCAGCTGATTGTTAAATGGTTTGGGTTTCTGCCACCCTGAGTGATAGAGCTGCTTGGCTGAATTTTTTGCCTTCAGCCATGTGGCTAGACAACTGAAGTGTAAACTTAGCCCATCTTGTCAGGGAGTTTTGCAAAGGAGATCCAGAAACCTTAGAGGTGGTGAAATGACCTTCAAAGGATACATCTAAAAGGCTGATCATCTCCCTGCAAGTGTTAATGTTGAATCCATCACTTTTAACATCCTTTCCTGTACAAAAAGGAAGTAAAAGTCCAAGTCAGAAATACTTTTAGAGAGATATTTTTCTGCAGTCAACCTTGGAGATGTCAGCCACCTTAAAATCTTGGCAGCAAAGCAAATGCTCTGCCATTTCTTCCACTATTTCCCTTCAGTTGATTAATATGGCTTCTCTTTCTTTTATTTTTTTTGGCATAGGGGGAGGGAATGCTATTGGGTTTGGTGATGCTGAGCCTTTATCTATCCACATCTCCCACAGTGGTTCCCCAAAGAAAGTACAGGGAACATTGTGCCTCTGCAGAACATCTTCTGGCAGCACTCCAAAGGGGAGCGCCAGGTAGTATTACCTCCACTGCCCCCCCAACCCCATATTTAGATGTTCTACAAGCCAGGAGGAACTCAGCTGTGGGCAGACACAAACTCAGTTTTTCATCACCTTTAGCTGACAGAGCTGGGGTTTGTCAGCAGAGATCCTGTTCCCAGCTCCATCCAAGGGAAACTACATAATGTTACTTACTCTTTGCCAAAACCCGGTTTAGGATAGTTTGAAGTTCAACTGCAGTCACTTCACAGTCCTGAACAGAAATCAAGACATACTTCAGGTATCAACACAAAAATTATTTGAAACAAGCTATATTCATTTGATGTCAGATATTCAGAGACTATTTCCCTTCCATATCTAGGGCATGTAAACCCTTTAAGTTTTTTCTAACACTATATATTTACCCTCAGATATCAGAGGGAGAAGATCTTCAAAAACAATTAATATTTTCTGGGCATTTAAGTGGGAAATAAGTGGTTTGTTAGGTGCTATAGTGACATGACCCAGTAAACGGCAACTTTTTAACAGGTTTTGACTGAATAAAGAGGTTCAGGAGAACATTTGAGATTTTCCATGTATGAAAACTACAACCAAACAATACTAAAATTGCCCTCTCAAAATTCAAAAAGGTCTTTTAAACTAACTAGATGTTTTCCCTCTCTGATACCAGTGGCCACCTGTTCATTAAGAGAAAATCTGACGTGACAGCCACAGGCTAGCTCAGCAGGGCTTTGTAGATACTATTTTTCAAATACAATAAATAGAGAAAAAGCTCAGCCAACAGTTTTCTGATTCCTGGGGCTAAAGAAAAAGGAAGGAATTGGCCAGCTAGGCAATTGTCAGAATTATACGATAACTCCACAGGTAATTTATTTCACCATGGGATAATATTTTTACAGTCCTCACTTCTATCACCCCTGTTTTCAAAGTTATTCCCTGCCCTGCATTACTGAGGGGAAAAATCACATTTTGCACCAATAAGAGGAACAATGTAGAAAATCTTCTCTATTGTAAAATAAATTGAACTGAAGCTGTGAGTTAATAAAAGGGGAGAAATACTTGGTTTTTTTGAAGACCAGTCAGCAAAAGGAATTGGCAAGTCAAATATTTGCATAATCTTAACAGACAGGTCTTCGTCTTTTTTGTTCACTTTAATCCACTTACCTCTCCAGAGAGCTTTTGGAACAGAGTCTTGAACTCATCATCTATATCTTTGCTATAGACACAAGGCTAGAGGACAGAGATGACCAAGAGTGTGGTTAACAAGGTGGTTCTAGAAAGCGAGCTGTGGATATCATAAAGACACTGTACAGGGGTGCATTCATAGCAAGAGCAAAGGAGCACTTGCTCTGCAGTCCTGTCAAAACAGAGGCACTACTTAAATCACGAGCAGCCAGGGGCTGGCTTTATTTGAGAGTAAATACTTCCTAAGGCTGATGAAAAAGTTTTCTCCTTCTACCAAGATAGTTTTATAAAATAGCCACAGGGAAAACTTTGCTGCACTCGGCCACAGCAATTCTTTGGAAGTCTGTTTCTGCAGTTTCTCTCAGGCTTCAGGAAGATTTTGTTTTTATGGGAAGGATCGTTCTGTGCCCTTCCTGCCTTCTCCTACCTGTGCTAGAGGGAAAGACAATCTAATGTGTTCCAGCCCAGTCTACAAGGGTGCAGTTTCTGTGCTACGTGACCCAGGTACATGAATGCGAAACTAAGACACGGATATATGAAAAGAACTTCCAAAAATAAAAAATATTTCTCCTGAGCATAAAAACATACTGTAACCCCAGGTCAGGTAAGAAATTGAAGTCTTGCTCCTGTTTTACCCTCCATTATGAAGGAAAAGTCTGCCAAGAAAAAAAAGAAAAAATCTGCCCAGTTAAATCATCTAACCTCATATGGTTTTGCAGACACCGCATCACCCATCATCCTAAGGAAAAAGAAAAGAAAAAAATAAAACAACCAGAAATTATGAGTCTACTATAAAATCTTACCTTTAAAATAATTAGCAAAACAAGTTGTTTGACTATAAGGTGTTAACAAATGCACAGAACAAGCCCCCAAGTTTCCTGCTTCCCATGCTCCCCATCCCCCATCTCTGTTTGCCCCAATTCTTTGAAGGTATTTCCCTTGGGAAATCCTGCCTTGTTGTTCTTGTCTTGCATTCAGACTCCTGTTTTTTCCTTCAATGGCTGCTATTGATACAAACATTTTTAAAACCACCTCCTCATCATCATGCTCCCAGATCCTGCACTCTTTAACTGTGCACAAACCTGAGGGATCTAGTTACCACCTGAGTGCTTTGTGGAGGCCATCTGAAGAGCCATCACTCTCTTCCATGGGTGTGTGTGTCACATATGGTAGACTAGGTAAGAAAATTAGTCCTAGAAATGGGCCTATTTTGCTGGTTAAGAGGAAAGATTGAGCATAGAGTGTGGGTGCAACATCCAAGCTTTTCCTTCATGTGCCTCACCAGGAAAAGAGGAGGCTTTACAGAGAAGGTACCCACCGTGTTTTAGCGCATTTCTCAGCAAAAACTCGCAGGCAGAACTCTCCATTTTTGTAAGGCTCAAAAGTGGACGGCACAATGAGATACTCTCCCCGGGGCAACTTCATGCGGCACGAAACTTCACGCAGGTTCATATAAGGATCAGTCCTGGCTGCTGGTTGGTGCCTTGTGAAGAATGCACGGCTTGCATGAATCTCTGTGTCATTCTCCAGCTGTGAGAAACGTGTTTTTGTTAGGAACCATTTGGCAATTCCCTGGTAAGCCAGTCACCCTATTTAGGTTTCAGTGCTTTAAAGCCAGCTCAAGTTTTTCTTCACGTAAAACAATAAATCTGTGAGTGATGGCACAAAGATAACCAGCAGGGTTCTGTCATGGGAAACAGGCAGAGAATTAGAAAGGGCAAGGATCTTTCTCTATAAAGATTATCTTTTCACATGCCTTGTTACAATTAGTAATATAAAATAAATAGAAATATCATAATGTGTGCTCATATCTGATCAAATTAGTACACTGTAAGTTGTCTGTGTCTTAAGCATTTTTTGCTTTCATAGCCTGTTTGTTTCAGAATATTTTTGAGCAGTTTATGGTATGTAATAAATCTCCTAACTGCACAGGAATTGCAGTCCCTGATTTTTTTAAACAGACAGAAAAAAAATAGCAAACAGGACAGAGTAGTAGTCACAAGGGTGAGACTTCTGAGGCCACATTAGATGGTTTACCCAACTTCTATTAGTTTTGCAGAAAACAGTACTTAATTTTTCCTTAATACCCATATACTCTTAAGGAAGTGAAACGTTGCACAGCTCATAAAATAAAACACTGACATAAAAAGAAACAGTAGTGTAAGAATAACATCTCTGCTATAAAACTCCTATTCATGACTTTTGCTGCACAAAGATGTCTTTCAAAATGTGTGATTCAATGACACAAGAAAAGTGCTATGTGGGATACAGGGTGGGAAGCATTGCATAGGGATAAGGTTTCTGTCTAAGACCAAAGCATACAGAGATGTTACTAAACATTGTATAATCATCAGTTTTTCCACTGTAAACTGTAGAAAAATATGCATTTTTTCCTCTTTTGTTCTGAAGGTAAGATCAAATTTGGTATTTATTTAACAGCCCCATCCTTTCCCCTCAGTCAATATTAAGCTAAGTAGAGCTACAAAGATTAAGAAGACAGATCCATATCTTTTTCAATATATAAAGTTGATTTTCCCTTTGCATTTGCAAGGTTGCTAAAAGAACACACTTAATTGCTACATGGCCACACATTCATTTACTGGGAGAGGAAAAGGGCTGAAAAGACAAAGAAAAATTGGCAGCATAGGCTGCTGGACCTCAGTAATGAGTATAGGCTATTCCTCCTGCCAGACACCCCTGGGGTCTCTTTCTTCAGCAATGAAAAGTCTCCTTGCCTCAGTATTGACATCTGGGAGGATTAGGGAAAGTTGAGCAGGGTTTGTTCATTACCAGGAGCCCTCAGCTCAGAACTGTAAAAGGAATGGATCCACAGAGTTTGGTATTTCTTCTAAGCAACATCGGCTACATTTTAGAGTGCAGAGATCCTGTTCTGCCTTCACCTGAACTAAACAGACAAATTCTGACCTCTGTTATACAAACTTCGTGGAAACCAAATTTCAACAAGTATAAATGAGGTCAAGATTGGGAGTCAGATATCTGTAAAAAATCCTTGTGCCCCAGTCCCTTGAAAATGGTTATTCAGAACTTGAGACACTGGTCCAGTGAGATGTCATTAGTAAGGAAGAAGTCTTCCTGGCAGCTAAATTCTCCAGTGCAACAGGAAGTGCCCATCTGGAGGCTAGAAGTCTTCAGCAGAAATTACATACCTCTTGAGGAATCTGAAAGGAAGGGAAAGAGCCAGTGTTAAAGGGCTGTTATACTCCTGCATCTAAAAGTAGGGGAAAAAAAGTTGGCTAAAGCCTCCCTCAGACACATTTTTTTAATTTTCATTTACAACCACATATTATAATATCAGATATACTTGAAGTTCTATCTTGTCCTAGAGCTGTTCCAAAAGAAAAACAGAATTTTCATCCAGAGGAATCTATAGAATATTTAATTGTTTTTCTCCAGACACGGTGGTGAATTACACTGATGGTTGGAAATATTTGAGTAAGCCTTTAAATGCTCAGTCAGGAAGGTCAACAAGTTAGCCCCACCTTGTCAACAAAAACCAGAGAATTTATTACAGCAGACCTAAAAGCTACTGGTCTACTGTTACTGGAATATGATACTGGAATCAGCCTGAGGATGATGAGATTGTTGTGAGGCAATTATAACAAGTAGCAATTTTCAAGATTTAGCCCTTCTTAAATTAACTAAATTGCTATGTTAACTTGTATCTCCAAATACAAGGTAGCATTTTGAAACTAATTAAGTCATCATGAGAGCACAGATTCCAGTGAGAGCCAAAGAGAATGTCCTACCAAGACCTGAAAGAGCCTTCAAAAATATCACCCATACAATGATTGTGGGACCCGAGTGACCCCTAGAGACCTCAGGTGTTGTCCCCTATAATCATCAGGATTATCAGAAGGAAGGAGCTGGATGACAGGTGCACTTACAGTTATTGTCAGTAGGCATTTTGAGCTACATGACTTACAAAAGCATCTTAAGACTCACTTAAGTGACAAGAGTCTACGATGGATAAGATCACAGAGGATGCAGATGGAACAGATTAGATGCAAAGCACAAAAGGTTCTTCAGCATTGTATTCAGTGATACAAGCAAACAGACATCCATAATGTGCAAATTCAAATGCCAATAGGTGAGAGTGGTTGGCACCACGGAGGTGGCAGCCCCATGTGCTCAGTGAGAACCAGGTGTGCATGAAGACACTTAGGCACCAGGGAAAACCTTTCCTAGTTTTGAACCATTTTGCACAAGGTCTATTAGCAAAAGTCAACCATTCCCACCTGCTCCAACCCGTGCTGGCTAATGATCTTCATCCAGTGGAATCTATACAACATCTAATTGCTTTTCTCCACATATGATATTGGGAATGATAGTACTGGTTGGAAATTTTTATGTTTGCTTCTCCCCTCTCACATCACAGATATTAGAGGTTACACTGTAGATTTTTTCCCCCTACATTATATTTTCAGAGACAGAAGCAACACCAGGAAAATCAGAAAAAAAAAGGCCCAAAATTACTGAATCAGAACAATAGCATATGGTAGACAATGAATAAAAAAAATTAATACATTTATTAATAATAAATTTAATAAAAATAATAATGAAAAAGAAAGTGACTACTGAGTGGTAACGATAGGCTGTAATCAGAAACACTTATCTGGAATTGCCAGGCACCCTGACCATGCCCTCATTCAGATTTTGTAAGACTCTCAACGAGACTGTAGCTAAATTATTGCCTCTAGTTTTTACATTGCCATCCTGTAAAGTGGGACAAAAATTGAGCCTAGATTTATTTGAATCTTCCTATATTATGTGGGTCAGGAAGACAGGGGAGAAGAAATTGAATAATTTTTCAAAATCCAGTTCTTATTGAAGTTTGGTGCTGAATGTCAAGACGTAACACATTGCTGATTCTTTTCCAACGTAACACAACAGGGAATAAAGCCTTTAAAATCAGGAACAGACTTTACCTGATAGAGTGAATAACCAATACTAAGCAGACCTTCTCCCATTCTCTTCTGTCTCCTGCGGTTCTTCTGCATTAAGCCCACCAGTATAGTACAGCACGGCTCATTCAAACTCCCTTCATGGTCATCATCTGGTTCATCCAACCGGATTTTAAACTGGGGATTGGTCCAGTATGTTGCTAAGAATTCCCAAGGGAAGACAAAAAGGAGAAGACTTTGTTGTCATTGTAGCCAAGATGGCTGTCACTAGATCTACAGAGAATATCTCTTTGGAAGGACTTTTGCCTGGAGTTTCTCCAGTTCTTTCCATTGAGGTATATGGGTTTATGTTTTCACATCTATGCTGAGTATCCATTGGAGCCATGGGAAATCAAAGCACCAAAGTATTTCCTGGGAACTAATGACCAGCTGGGAGGAGCCGTTAATTCCAGACAGTCATTTATCTCCAGGAAATGTCCTTGGCTCAGGGTGTTATTGTTGCAAGAGGGCCAGATGCCAGACAGCCTCTCCAGAGGTCTAACCTGAAAATGAATGGGAAACAGCACTGCCACTGAACTGTGTTACTTTCCTGGCCTGCCCAACCCTTCAGAGGATTACTCCAGCCAGTAGCAAAAGCAATGTAAGCAGGAAGAGCAGGCAGAGGAAAAAAGAAGAATATAGCCACAAATTAACTGCTTAGTGGGTTGGTAATCCCCAATGAGGAAATAAGCGTGAATTAGATCTCCACTTAGACTGCCAAGCTTTTGCTTACTGTCTAAACCCCACAGAAATTGCTGCTGTTCCAAGCCCTTCCCACCAAAGCTTCCTTCAGCTCACAAGCATTTATTTTTCAAATGTTTTGTTTGGGATTTCATCAAATGCCCATTCGGCTGGGTCTTCACCTTGGTAGTTCTGGCAGCCCCCAGCAGTTGAACCCCGTCTCCACTGTCCATTAAACAGGGTCAGGTCCCATTTATTGACCACGTTGCTTGTCAGTGTGTCAGGAGTCAAGTTGCAGATCTCAAGGCGGGAGAACTGTCTTTGAAAATCTGCGAACGCCATCCTGGCACACAAAAAGACCAGGGTTAGTCCATCAACCTGCAACAGATGAGGCAACTGCAACTGGGCACCTCTCCGAACAGGGTAGCAAAGGTTGGTACTACAGAGCTGCCCAAAGCCACATTTAATTGAACTCTGGAACTCGGAACTGGCTTTTGGGAAACAAAATTACCCACTCCCTAAATGAGGTGTATCTTCTGGAGACAGTCTTTCTCAATGTCTGTTACACATTATGGGCTCAGTCATACCATTTTGTCATCCCCAGTTGGGGGAATCCCTCATGGATCATGCTTCATAAGTAAATTCACTGAAACTGGTGAAACACTATGTGCGAGGAGATTCCATTTAAAGGGAGTAAGACTTGGCCCTTGTGAAAGCATCACTCTGTAGGAAAGCAGTCTCAGTTTGGTGTTTTGCTTTAGTCCTATCTTTGATGTTTGTTTTCACCATTCCTAGTAGGTTTGCATGAGTGACAGACCTTGATTGCTTCATGCTGCAAGCAGAGGTCTGTTCTCATTTCCCAGTGCCTTATGGCCCACATCGCTGATTGCACTGGAAAACAGTGGCCGTTTATCTTTCAAGTCTAGGACAGAGTGATATAGGTTCAGTACTGATCCATATAATCAAATAACTGGGATAGGATAGGCTTTCTATTAGGTCTGAGTAAACAGACTCTTCCCAAGCTAATAATCTGAACTTTTTCATTAGTGTGTTGCATTTAGGAAAAAAAAAAAACAAAAAAAAACAAACCTCAAAATGTAGAGCAGCTGAGGTTCATTCTTGCCACCTCATTAATTTTATTACCATCTGGTCTCTATATTTTGGATAAGCACCGAGTTATGCAAGCTCTAATAAAAGGTAATATTTGAATAAAAAGGGAGATAAATAAGAGTCTAACAATGCACACGTCATTATTAACCCCCTTGGTGCTGGCAGTTTTTCTCCATCCAACTAAAAGGACTGCCTAAAGCACAAAAAATGTCCAAAACAGTAAGATAAATGAACAATTCTCACCAAAACTCTCCATCATCTACTTGCTTATCCAGAGCCTGTTTTTGTTTGGGATCAACATAATTCCATTCAGGAGCACTGCAGACAAAGCACAAAAGCAAGCTGTTCAGTTGTTGCATTTTATTCTACAATGAGATTGGAGTAAGATGCCTTCTTAGGCTGATAAAGGAGTATATATTTCTTCAACAAATACACTTTGTGCCCCTCCAAATAACAGTACACACTGCAAACTGACTATGTTGAGCTGGAATCAGACTGCAACCACATTTGCAACAAATAAGCATTAAATTGAATCATCCCTGCCAGATGCCAGAATGTACAAACATTGCAGAAGGGCTGGATTAGGAAATTCACAGCCTGAAAGTCAGTCAGAGCTTCTCCACTGAAAGATACGTTGGAGTGCCTGATATTCTCCCTAGGGAAAAAATAAAAGGTCCATGTTGGGGTCACAAAAGAACTGGAAAGCAAAAAGGTGGAATTAGAAAATATACTGCAGAACACAGAATTGCTCTCTTCCCATTCTGATGTTAATTTGCTCAAGATGGATTCTGCTCTGATCTGCTTTCACGTGACAATGCAGTTCTGCACCTGCCTCAGCAGAGTTGTCCCATGGTAAAACAGGTGTGACAAAATCAGGATATGGCATGTGTGTGTGCCTGAGGCACCTTAGCTTGGGGCTGAGCAAAGCAGCTCTGATAAAAGTAAGACTAATTGTAATGTTTATCTCTATATTCTATCCTTAATTATGATACATCAGCACCCAGGCTGCAGTCAGTCAGGACAGGAAACTGAAATCTCAAAGTGTTGCAGAAAAAATATATTGCGGCCCAAAAGAAAGTAAAATTTACGTCATTCTAAATACAAAAATAAAAGAGGTGTTGTCACTGTCACACTCCTGAGATTCCAAGACAGTTGAAGCCCAGGCAGTTTCGGAGGGATTTTCAAACTTCTGGGTCCTTAGGTTAGTCAACCTCCCTATTTTTTTCAAGATTCTGAAGTAGATACCAAATACTGGTCTGATTTGGAGCCAAGCAACCTTAAGAGTTGAAGCAGAGGCACAATGGTTTAACCTTGCTGTAACTCCCAGGAATAGGACTGGTTTGTATATTTTACTAAGGTCCTGGCACCATCGGTAGGATCAATTTGAGAAAAGTTGTCCTGCAAAATGAGATGGGTATGGTTTGCATTGGGCTGCTCACAAGTAAAAGAAGGGCTGTTCTCTCTTATTAGAAAGCTCTGCCTGAGGCAGGTAATAATGCCCACTGGACAGAATGGATCAATAGCTAACCCTGGTAATAAATTAATAGTGTTTTATTCCAACTGATTTAGTATCTCTCCTAAATGTGCTTTGTGATTGGATTAACTGCATAGTCCCAATTTAATTTTTAATAGATTCCAAAATACACCAAAGACAGAGAAGTAGGGACATATAAAAACCTACTTATCACTCCAAGCTCCAGTCCATTCTACTTCACCCCAGGGATTTCTAAGCCTCACTAGTTTCTCTGGCCGTCCTCGGTAATATACCTAAAAGATCCACAACAAACAGAACCTGAGCACTTCCATTATTCCAATCATCACAGGGCAATTGCTTTTCACACAGGATAAAACACGATTTGTACTTGAGTGATGCAGTCCATTACAATTTGCAACAGTTAAAAGACACCTAGATGCCTTCCACCCTTATTTTACATTATCCTGTGCCACCAAGTGAGCCATTAGCTGCAGCACTCACCATTTCATACCATGACAGCAACCCACAAGGAAAAACATGAGCTACAAAACAGCAGAATATCTATGTCCTCAAAAGCGGAAGACATTGCACAACATGGTAAGGTTGGAAAGAGGTTATCTGCATGGACATCTCTGTAATGATTCCAATTTCAGAGGAGCAGGAACATCTGGGGCTCACTGTGAAGGTGAGACCAACAGCAGAGTTTATGAAAGAGACTTTTACTCCTTTCCTGTCAATGCTGACTGGTAAAGTATTTGCTCCCACGCACAGTATAAACACGTGGGAAATGGCTGCCTACTCTCCTGCTTCTCCTTTCTGTACCTTCCATTTTGGTAACAGCTTGGCACACCTTTACATGTTGTATCCCAGCCTATTGGTACAATACAGGTTGCTGACTGCACATTGTACTACAAGCACAGAGCTTCTGACCCAGCTAAGTATTGTAGGTACTTCCTTTTTTTCTCTGTAAGAGGGTGCATAAGACAGCAACATTTTCATTTGGTCAGTCACAGCAAGACATCAGAAAGTTGAAGGCACTGCAGTATTGCACCCCCAAGCTGTTTTGCACGATGGCCCCAGAGAGGCTGGCTTACCTCCTCTGCTCCAGTGATAGAATAAGCATGTCCTTTTACCAGCTTCAGACTTGTGATTGCTTCTATTTCAGCCGCAGCAGTTATCTGGAGCAATAAAAGTGTGCACATTTATGGCTATATATTGTGTATGAATTCGACTTTCATGAACAACTTAATATGGGGGAAGACATCCAAAGTGGTATGCACAATGAATGCCAACATTCTTGATGCAAAGTATATTAAATAAAGGTGAGATCTACAGCAAAAGCTCAACTCTACGGTTTCATGTCCCTTAATATGCAGCCCTAGCACAGAAGAAATTCAAAAACGTACAATGAAATCTAAATCTAAATCCAACTCCCAGCTCAGGCTACAGACCCAGTCATCTGCAAAGACATATTCATATGAGCACAGGCCTAGCCTGCCTCAGTCAAGATCTAATATATCAAACTTTGAACTCTGGTAATTCTATATGCCATATACCAGGATTTCAAACAAGATAATGAAACAGGATGTGAAAGATGTGAAATTTCCAAAACATGTTCAAACATCCTCTGTAACTTGAGAGTGTTTGTATTACAGGTGTTAATAATCTTTAGGACTGAAAACCAAAGCCAGAATCAGCCTACAGGCTCCAACAAAGTGTCTCAAAGAGTTTGTCTCTGGCAGTTGAGTGTCTGGAGCTGAAATTACACAAAATTTGAACGCGAAAAGATAGAGAATGAAAATGGAGCTCAAGAAGACCAGTACAGAAGAGCAGTTGGTGGTTCTAGGCATTATCCTACGCTGTCTTGTAAATAGGGAGTCATGACAAGAGATGGTTATTTAGAACCTCATCCGAAGGTTTTGTTACTGAAATCAATAAAGGTCTGACATTAATTGTGGTTTGCTTTTATATTAGACCTTCCTACCTACATCTAACATTGATCTGAGCTTTTGTTACAGTATGGACTTGAATCCTGAGAAGAGGAGGAAAGAGAGTAAAGCTTTGTCAGTCTCTTACATCGATGGAGCAGCCAAGCAGCGACCCAGCTCTCAGAGCCTTCTGGATGATTTGGAACAGGTTTGAAGGAGCCCTCCGGAGCTCATAGGACTCAGAGATGCCTCCAGTAAAATCCTCAAAGCCCTCCATAGTGGACCCTCCTGTGAGAGCTTCATAAGAGCCATTCAACCTGTGGGAGAGATGACAAGACCTACTCAAGGGATCATCTCCACCTGTAAGCACAAGGCACTGCAGAAAGAAGGATTTATCATTTAGTATCTCTCAGTCTGGGTGATTATCAGGGGCACCAGAATTAAAGCCCCTTGAAACAGACAGTTGGCAACACGCTTTATGGACCTAGAGGGAACTGTAAATAATGGGTGGAATGGGGGCTGCATTTGAATGAAGTGTGTGGTGACTAACATCACAATGCCTGGCCCACCAACAGCTGCACACCCAGGAGTGCTGCCTCCTGCTTAGCCACCATACTTGGCATAGGCCTTCTCCAGCAGAGCGCTCCAGAACTCGTTGCCTTCCTCCGAGTGCACGAAGACCAGCTTCCCATTCTTGGTGGGCAGCCTGTCATCCACCACGACGTCCACCCACTCCCCGTACTGCCAGAACTGACAAAATGAAGAAAGAAAAAGGTGGTGAGTGCTGGTGTGCCCATAATAGCTCCACACTACCATCCTCCTACCCCTTCACCTGTCATCAGTTCCTCCTGCATAAGTCACTGTAAGGTTTCATTCCCATGTTGGATTCCCCTCCTTTGTAATAGAGGCAAACTCCTCCCAGCCCTGTGGAATGTTCAGCAGGCTTCTTAATGCTATATTAAATTTTGCTGATAGACAATATTAACGGCATCTTGTTGCACATAACATCAAAAACACTCACTGTGCTCCATGCAGAGTTTACGTGGTGGAGAGTCCAGAAAGCTAGTGTGTAGACAGGTTACTCTAAACTGTTTTAAGGCTCAATTCTTAAGAAGAAAAAACAATTCCCCTGCAAAAATGCTGCAAGGAGGGGTCGTCTGAAGGGGAAGCACTCAATAGCGCTAATCCCTTCTGTAAATACTGGGAAACATGTGAAACGTTGCTAATGCTAAATTTTGGCCTCAAAGCTAGCAATATTTATTCTAGAATTTGATGCAGTACTGAAAGGAGAGAAGATAATTCACACTGTAACACTCTAAGGTGAGCTGGTAGAAGGTATGTGTTTTATAAATCCTCTCCTCACCAGACCAGCTCCTTTCACTTTGCAGGGTGAATCCACACTGCTCACACCTGAGCCTAACCTCTACTCAAAGCAGGCTGGCTAAATCCCAACACACTGGGTCTGCAGACAAGGAAATACAGGCATAACCACAGCGAGGGGAGGAGAAGGAATCACATCAACCTGAATTCACTCTCAACAGTTGGCAGCAACAGAGTTTGGTTTGGGCTCACACAGCCTGATGGTTCAGCTGAGTTTACAAAAACTGTTTAATTCCCCAGAGCCCTATCAGCTGTAAGACAGCAGAGCCTAGCCAGTGAGCAGGTCTCATTTAATATTATTTAACTCTGTTCTTCTTTTCTTTCCCTCTCCTCCATCAATTTCACTTACACACTGTAATTCTTGACTATTTTGCTTGTTACAAAAAGCCCCAAAACAATCTGCTTCTGGCTAAATACTAGAATTTTCCTCTTTTATTCTCAATACTCTGTTCATATAGATACCTGGAAATGAAAGATTCCAGCATAGTCCTTCTGGAAACTCTGATCCTTGGGAACAACACGGTACAGAACATCTGGATTCAAAGTGAGAGATGCAATGGCAGCTAGGAGCCAGCAATCACCTAAAAACACACGTTACAAGGCAGAAAAGTTCATTAATAAATAGGGGTTTTGCTAAGCTGATCCCCACACCATTAAGTCACACTCTTACCTAGACTAAAATGCCAGCATTAAGAGCTGTGCATGGTCCTGCCAGACTCAGTATTGGTTCAGCAATCCATTCTTCCTTTGTTTTTTATCTCTTTTCCTCGTTTTCCACTCACCCAAACCGCATAGGTACCTTGGGCCTCTGAGGCTGACCACGGTGGTAATTTTGATGGTCTAGTTTGTGCTTTGCTATTTTGATTTTTTAATAAAGCTGTGAAAACAAGCTGCTTTGCTAAGCTTGTTAATGCCCTCAGGAGACCAAGAATGCAGCCAGAGGGGGAAGACATTTGGAATATGTGGGTTGCAAAGCGTGGCTGGGCAGGACACAGCTAATGACCTGCAGCACTTTGACTAAACTCAAGCCAGCAGACCCAGGGGAGAGAAGGACTTAGAAGATGTCTGGAAGAGGGCAAAAGCTTCTTGTTTATAGAAGGACGGTGGGACTTCCATTCCTATCTTTTGGAGAATATTCAATGGACAGCAGGAACGTTTGGGGGCCTATTTCTTCTTAACCCTTTCTTCAAAGGTCTGAACTTGAACCAGCACACAAGGACTACTACCAGAGATTTGCCTGGGAGTGTTATGGAAGCTGAAGTCTCCTGGGACCTTTGCAAGGAGGTGAGTGCTTTCTCTGGCCCACTCCTCATCCTGGAAAGGCTGGGCCTGCCCAGCCCTCCCTGGAGCCTGCGTGTCTCACAGCTGGAGCTGTTTGCTGGGTTGGTTGCCCAGTAAGCAGAAGGTGGTGCCCCTGGGAAACTCAGTGACTCACAGGTTTCTTGCAGTGTTTGCATACTGCAAACAGCAGGAGGAACTTTTGTGATTCTGTATGATTTCTGAGGTGTGCAGAAAGTCTAGGAAAACAAAATTGCTCTGAAGGTACTAACATTTTCCTGGTTCCCTGTGGATTATCTGTGCCAAGACATAGTTTCTTTGTGCAGGTGCATATTCCGAAGAAGGAATTGGCATAACAGCTCTTGCATCAGAGGAAATAAGCTAATTGAGAAACCAAGGAAAGAGTTTAATCTGTAGCGTGATGGAATACCCTAGAGTAGCAGTTAATTCTTTATATTGACTCAGACTTTATGATTTAGTGTCATGATGAATACAACTGCAAAAGTAAGATATGGGAACTGGGTGCTCTCTGCTGCCTGTACCCCACTGGGGGGTACCCAGATGCCTCCTGTGAGCTGAGCAAGAAGCAGCTGTTTTGAGTTAGGCAAGCAGGGACTTCAGAAACACCTGTGAAGAAGTGCCCCTGGTATGATGACCTGTAACCACCTGAGCTGGCTGATGGCATTATGAATCCAAAACCGTGACCCACCCACTGTGCCAGCCCAGGCATTTCCAAAGAGGAGGGAAAACTCAGGATTAGTATGTGAAATGCTGCTTGAGCCTTCGCCCAGGTTTGCTCTGCCTTATCTTGGCTGCCATGTTCAGGAAAGAGCATTCAAGCTGGAAGGGGGCAGAAAATGGCTGGATTACCTGTTTCTCCCCATCCATCTGCATTTCTTATGAGAAGAGGTTAAAAAAAATTGTCCTGCTCATCCTATACAAGTGGTGTTTGAAGAAGTGTGAAGCAGGTTAAATGCTCCTTTGCAGAAAAGCTCTTTGAGGCAAGACCTCTTAGTTGAAAGATAATATTTCCTTTGTAGAAGAGAAGATAAAATAAAAGGGTTGTGACATGTTTAAAGTGGAAATTGAGAAAAATTGGTGCTGTGCATAAAGAGAGTCCAGAAGAGTCAGCCTCTAGAACAACTATGAGCAAAAAACCTTCTCAAGCTCATCTTCAAACTAATTATTTTACAAGCTATTTTTCATTCTGTGGGAGAGGAAGCTGGCCTGGAAGTTTCCTCCCACCCTTAGGTACCTATGTATAAAATAAGAAAAATTATGAGAGCACAAAGTGTGGGGGAAAAAAGGCTTTAAGGACCTCCTCTGCCAAGGAAACGTAGATGTAGGAAAAAATGAGTCTAAGATCAGATCTGCTTTGTGTTTATTTCTTTGAGGTTTTCCTTGGTACAGGTGTACGCCTTAAGCTGTTATAATTTTGTTTTCCTTGGAGAGGTAGAAATAATGGTGATAAGTGTGGGGAAAGGATTTTCAGAGGAGGAAGATGAAAAGCCGTATCAAGTTAGAACTGAAATCCTCATTTTCTCAATTACTCCAGATTTTGTTGCTGCTCTGGCTGTTCCTGGTATGCTGTGAAGTGCAGAACATTATTTCTGAGAAGATGGCAAGATGGGGGACCCTGGTGTCCCTGTCGTGTCCCTCCACCCCCGCTGAGGCCAGAGAAGGTCTACAGCAGTGACAAGTTGGTGCTCTCCCAATGTGCAACACATGGAAGGGTTTCCCCTTCCTGGTCCAGGCCAAGATTTTATAGTCAGTGAACAAGAAACTACTGCAGGCTTTGCTGAAGATGGTGTATGTTTGATGCGCAATTAGGCAGAAGATTCAGTGAAATGAGGGGGGTTTCCTTAAGTATGTTATTTACTTCCCTGACTCAGAACTGAACAATTTTAGAATCTCAACCCCATAAGATGCCAAATGCAGCGTGAAATCCTTTACAGCTATCTTACAGTATGAATTAACTTCTTATCGTCTGGGAGAGTGAGTGATGTGGGTGCTCCTGCCTCTCTCAAACACACCATGCAGTCCAACCTCCCAGGGAAGCGTTTAGAGGCAAGTCTGCTCAAAGCAAGCCTGGAAAGAATTGTGTTGGAAGAATTGCAGTGGTGAACTTGGCCTTAAAAGTAGCTATGCCTGACTTAAGCAATGCAGAGTCCTGTCTCTAAACCTTACTTTGGGGCCTAATATCTTTGACTAAGCTTGTGCCTGAACAAATATCAACCATGCCTTCCAAAAGGAACCAAGTGGGAATTGGCTGCTGTGCAGTAACTTGATAAAAATGAGGGTTTGCATAGGGTGTCTGAATGTAGATAGTTTGGGGGCATCTTTATGTAGCAGTGATGCGTGACATTCAAGCTCCTGTGATATTTACTTTAAGACAAATTAAAGAGGATGTAGAAATCTGTCCATATCAAGGAGCTTCCATAATGGAGCCTAAACTGCACAGTTTGCCTCTTACCTTCTTATACACCACAATGGGATCATGGCCTATTAATAAGCTTTCTCAGCCCCACTGGATAATAGATTACTAGTTCTAAAAAAAGTACAACTTGACAGTCCATGTTTCTTTTTTCAAAGTTTAACATAATTTTGTGGGCAATAAATTTTGGAGTTTTGTTTGTGATTATGACAAAAGGACAGTGCAACAGCACAAGTTCCCTAGATAGACAAATTATATAGGACCACTCAAACTTGCCCTGATTCAGCTAAAGGTTATGAATAATCTTTCAAACTGTAAGAAAATTATTTTATTACTTTCCAAAAAAGTGATTTTTTTTGAGGGAAAGGAAAAGAGGCCAATTGACCAATTAATTAAATTAATTATTTAGAATGTATTTCCAGTAAACTTATAGTCCGAAAAATGACAATATCAAAAAGCATGTCTGCTCACTCCATGTTTGAAGTTGTAGCCTTTTAGCTTATAAAAAGAATTATTTTTCTAAAAAAACCTCTCAACATTAGCCCTGTGAAGTTATATCACCTATAGGCATATAGCTGCCTCTGCTCAGCCTCATAGATCATGAGCAGAAGTTTCAGACAAGTGCCAATTACAGTGTTTGCTGTTGCTGCTGAATGTCCAAAAAAGAAGCCAGCTCGATGCATGGATATGAAGTTATTTGAAATGGTCGTAAAGTGCAATTTATTTTTTTTTTTTAATTAAGCAATTCTGACCTTGAGTTTGTGGTGGAAAGGGTAAACATGAATCTTAGCTCTGCCTAGCTCCTGTGTCTGTGTCCATATACAGAGAATTACTTTGACTGTTAGTGCACTTGAAATAAAATCACTTGCTGCTCACAGATGTACTGAGATGGCTCGTGTTCTCAGTGCTACTCAGTCACCTCCTGGTTTAGAGAGATAATCGAATTGCTGCAGAGAATACCGAATCCTCAGTGACCTGGGAGCTGAGCGACTCCTCTGTATTGATGATGTTTACCCAAGCATGCTGCACTTGCAGAGGCCATAAAATAAATGAGAAATTTGATTAGTTTCAGTTGCTACAGAGCAGTGCTCAGTTTTTGTTTAGCTACCATTGAAGTGTCTAGACACAGAATATCTGAACTCTTCTTTGACCTAGAGATGGTGAGATTTAGCCAAAAGTCCAAGTGTTTGGTACCAAGATCTAACTGGACAGCACAAAGGTGTTTCTGTCCTGACTGTATTCTGGCTTACTGCTATTTCAGCGGTGCCTGGTGTTCAGAAGGGATCCAAATACAATGCTCTGGCTCTTGCCTCCTGGATTGTCAAGCAGCACTGACTCTCAGCTTTAGTCTCTGCTGGAAGCCCTTCTTCAGAGCTCGTAGTACCTGGGGCATCATACCAGACATCAAGGAAGCACTGACCCACTAGCTTATCATTTATAGCAATGCAGACTGCCTCTGCTTTGAGATTTCTAAAGGCTTCCTGAGGTTTTCTATGGAAATGAATTATGCTCTGCAGCTGTGTACAGAAAGGCAAAGGAGAACCCAGCAAAGGAACAGGCTTTCTTCTCTTTGAGGTCTCAGAATTCTCAGTGAATGTATTTTTTGACAGCTTTGAGATATATCTGCTAGAACTCCAATGCCCCTTAGCCATGGCACTGAACGTCAGAAGGGCCATACATTAACGTCTAACAGCAAAATAAGTGAACAAATCCAATATTATTAAGTACTGTCCTACCTACACCCGCTTCATAGGTTCCCTCAACAGGTATCAGATCTATCTCAGAGCTGTCAGGCTTTGGTTTGTTCTGTACCTGTAATCTCTTTAAATCTGCCTGTAGGACAAGACATGCACAAAGCATGCATGGGGTGGGCTCCTCAGCTGGTGTGAACTCATGCATCTGCCTTGGCTTCAGGGGACTCCTCCAGCTGACAGCCCGGGCCAAAGGAGCTGCAGTGCCTGGAGTAGCCTCTGAGCATTCAGAACAAAAGGCAGCTCATGAATATAAATAGTGTGGATCTGGAAAGCTAATATTAAACTGAGGGGTTTTCAGTATGTTTTATATTATTAAAATTAAATTTATGTCACTTGCTTCTTAAGAACTTCTGCAAACAGTTCTAATGTTAACTTATTCAGATAGCTGCAAGAAAACTTCATAAGTCACCTTTAATAACTAAGACTATGTGACTGCATTTCAAGTTGTTACTAGGCTATCAAAAAGATACGGTTCAAAGAACGTTTAAAATATTTCAAGTCTTTCAAGTTCCCATCAAACTTCCCAAGCTGATATTCATCTAGCTTACACTGTTGTCAAAGAAATAAGTTTAATGGAGTGAGACTACTACTCTGTTTTTTCTTGTTCCTTTTGTTCATATAAACCCAGACCTGCAGTTTTATTTTTAAAAGAAAAGAAACATGTCAGAAAAGATTATTGAAAATAGGCTCTATTTCCCTCAAGGACTTGTTAACCGGTCACATACGTGGCTTATGTAAATATGTAATCAGGGTCTGTTTCAATTGAAGTGTTTTAGTAACAAGGACTTTGATATTCAAGGTATTGGATCAAATACCAGAAAAGCTTAGTATGCCTCAGAGATGTAAAGCAAACACCTGAATGCTAGAAGGGAAGTCCCATGCCTGAAGTTTGTTTTTGTGAAGGGTCAGTGGATGTAGAAGCAACTGTAAGCAGCCTTACAGAAACAAATTGGATTATCTTTTTTTTTTCTTGGTGAGAGAGTAAGAGAGAGAAAAGCAAGCTCCTAATAAAAGCAGAATTAGATTTCGGGACTTTTCTTCTAGGTTTGGAGCAGCTTTCACAACTAGCACTTGGGGTACTGCCCACCAAAAGCTGGCCTCAGAAAACCCAGAGCCAGACACTATCCCCAGATTCACAGGAGGAGTTTGGGTCCAGTTCTGTTGTTACCACTATTTGATGGATTTTGGCAGCAGTCTCTAATGAAAGCCCATTGAGCACAAAGAACTGGGACTCCACAGAGACATTCAGCAGGTGACAGAAGCAGAAAAGGACTCAGAGTATTTGTATTCAGTTTCCAGGCTAAACACAAATAACACATTGACCTCTTCTAGTTTAAGAATAGGTAATATTCTTCAGTCCTATAGCTTGTAAACTGTCAAGGAAAATGAGGTTTTATGTCAGGTATGTGATCTTCTTTTGTTTTAATGCTATTATAGAAACTTCCCAAATAGAAGGTGACAAGAAATGTCTCTTATTACTTATCTGAACCATTTTCCTAGCATAGAGTAAGTGATCTCCCCAGCATCCACCAAATAAATATCCTGGAGCAAGTATATGATTGGGCATCTTATTTTTAGCATTTGGAGTATAAGCCCACACACCAGGGAATTTTTCAGCAATTGCTTTAATGGTGCTGTGTTTACAAGACCAGCATTGGTATTATTTATTGCCAATGACTTGCAGAAATTGTTTGAATCTCATTTGCACAATGGATGGGCTGGAAAACCAGTGAGGTCAGGAGTACTGCAGTTAGCAGCACAGGAGGGAGAAAGGCTGATTTCTCTGTGTCTAATCTATCAAATTCTCATTACAAGAGCTTCAGCCTTCCTGCCTCTATATGTAGTCAGGAGAGGTTGCTGCTGCTGTCTTCTGCAGCTGGATCTTATCAGTGAGGCAGGCAGGGAAGGCAGCTGCTGCAGCAGCTATTTGAGGGGGGATCAAGTCCCTTTACAGCTCCCTTCTGGCCACTTGCACAGCAGCTCTGTTAAGTCAACGGCAAGCACTGGAGAAAAACGTGTAAGAAAGTCTTTCTGTGATGGATCTCCAGGAGAGGATGAGTGCTCCCTGAAAGACATCTCCTCTGGATCAGGCCTTAATTTGGGGAGCTGAGCAACACTGTCTTTTCTGTCTGATTTTGCATGGTGTGGCTGGTGTCCGGTTGCTCCTGTCCCCACTCGCAGCTCTATGCCAAATGCTGTACAAGCAGAAGGAGCATTCAGCATGAAGGCCTTGGAATATTTTGCCATTGTGGATCATATTATGAGGTTTATGTGCTCTGTTCATTTTTTATTATGTGGTCTTTGTTTCTAACTCCTGCCTGGACCCCCCTGCTCGGCACAAAATGGTCATAGACCCAGCCTCTCTACTAAACCAGTTCCTGCTCTATTCCTTGGTTGTTGCGTATTTGTTTTGTGTGAAACTGAGGCTGGAACTAGCTCTGCCTCCCAGATAAAAACCCCTAGGGACTAGGCTACAGGGGAAAATTTCCCTGGTGTCCCTTGTCCCCAGAGTCTTTGAAGCTGCTCTTGCTGGGATGGGCACAAAGCCCACTGTCTTGCTTCGGCACAAGTGTTCTCATGATTAGGTTGGTGGCCAACTCTATCTTAAGATGTCAAGAGCAAGCCAGTCTTCTGCTCCACATAATTAGCTTCCCTCCTCCAGGAGACAGTTTGGTGTCTTCCAAGTTTGACATAGCTCTTACAAGCCCATATATATACCCTGTCTCAGGCAGCAATGCTGGTACATGGGTCCCCTTCTTGGGTATCTGCCTCTCTCCATACTACATCTGGGAGATGGCCAATAAAATAAAATGGTCCGTGTATGAGAAACTTTTAAATGAATCTGCATTTTTTTTCTTCTTACAAAACAAAATTCAGAAGCACTGTACGTACCCAGCTCTCCTTGGCAGACATCTGTTCGGGTAGCTCCTCCAACTATAAACTGAGGATTGGCACATAATTCCTGAAAAGACATAATTTCAGAGTTTGCATCACCCTTTCTGGTCTGAGAAGTTCCCTTTTCTTGTTCCTTGTTTCAATATTCAAAAAATATTAAACACTTTCAACATTTCTTATAAAATATATCTTTTCTCTTCTCTCTGATTAACACGGTCCCAGAACAACATTTCTGTAAAAAAATGAGGACTGCTTGTATTTTTTGAGGCAAATCCTGCTACTTGAGACTGTCGGTGATGTTAGTGAGAATTTTTGCTACTGTGGAGACAGGCGAAAATTCAGCCTCAGCATTTACAACTTACTCTGTCTTGCTGAGATTTTAGTTCAAGCAGTGCAAGTGAGTTTGTGACTGTTGCTGCTGCCTGTGCCACTGGAGCTCTGCTGAGTTTCCACTGCCAACAGCGTGGAGGATGTTCCCCAACCCTGACCCCGCTTCCTGGGAGGCCAACCACGCAAATGCTTTTATTAGCAACAACCCTCCTTTCTTCCTGGCCCTTTGGGGACAGCCAAGTAGGTTATGGCAATGACTGTCACTCCTGTCCCAACTCTGAGCTCTCCAACAATTCATGGCCTATATTAGGAAGTTAATATTGTCTCTCTAGAGACAAAAGCCTTCTCTGTTTTCTTGAGCATTTTCCACGAGCTTCTGGATGGTAGCAAGGGGCAGTTTATAGGAAGCCTAACTTGGCAAGCAGGGTTCAGGACAGTCACTGGCTCTCACAGAGAGCAGCAGTTGTCAGCTTTGAGCATCCTGTGGAGAGACAGGGGCAACCCAGGACTACTTGTGTGCATGTGTGTGACAAAGAGCCAATTTCCTCTTGCAATAGGTGGCATCTCAGCTACCTCTTTTTTGCTTCTGTTTGGTGGATAGGAGTCAGGAGCAGGTTACCCACCACACAGAAATAGGGGTTTTGTAGGTTTTTCTCTCCTCCCTCCAAAGCAGTGCACCTGGTGTCAGTCAGCCGCATATGACTTATTACTCACCTAGACACCTGTCCTTTCTGAGCCACTCCTAAGTGCCACACACACCTTTCACACAGCTGACTTTCCATCTTTTCTCTTTCTATAAACTCACTGCTGAAATCGGAAGATAAGTCTGTGGTGGCAGCGTCTAACACTCGCTGTCCGCAAAGCAGCAGTCACAGGGGTTGATATTAGCAGATATTTGTTTTGCAGGGGGCACTTCTCCAGCAGGTTTCCTCCCAGTTACCCACTGGTTCTGGTTTGGATGCAGACAGGGAAGTGAGTGGTGATCCTGTCAGCCTGCAATCACAGGCAGAGTTTGCAGATGGAAACCTGCTGACCGGTAGAAAAAGCCTGAGAAATGAGCAGGGTGTGGCCTCCAAGAGGAGTCACGCACAACACAAAAACAGATTAGATCCAGGTCCCTCCGAAGAGAGCAAAGCAGAGAGTTTGTGTCACCTTGCAGCAGGGTTGGGCTCTGACCCCTGCATAGGGATAAGCCAGTTGGTCCGAGTACTTGTCATCTAAGTGTTCATAAATTGCTTGCGTCTCTGCTGAGTGCCGGGAAGGCAGAGGGGTCCCATGAGGGCAGGTCTCTAGCAGGCAGGACTGGAACATTTAACCCTGTTGGATCTCAGACCTCAGTTATTCCTTACCTTGATGTGTTTGTGGGTGTCTCTGCCTGTAGCAGGCTCAGTGCTGTAGCCCAAGTCTAATTTAATGAGTTTCCTAAGGCTGACCTTCTCCAGAAGGAGAGGCAAAGCCAAGAGACACATCCATGGTACTTGTTTCTGTAACACCTGGGTGCCAGAGTAAGGTGCTTATGGACAAATGGGGTTGCCAAGGTTATTAGGCCTGGAGTTATTAAACTTGAAAATTTCTGTTTCTCACTTTTCAGGTGAAAAAAACAATAAAAATCAAAGTCTTGAAATCTATTGTTCTTCTCATTTTCCTTGCCCCCATCAGAGGGAGGTAAGTAATTTGGAGATTTTTCCTTCCTTCCTCATTTTTTTAATATTTCTTGATGTTACAAGAAGGGCCAAAATGACAAGGAGGAGCAAAGTAGAGACAGAAACAAATGACTGAAAAATGACAGTGCAGAAAAATCTCTGAAGCCCTGATTTTGCAGTTTAAAAAAAATCATCATTTAATCTTTCCTGATGAAAATTACTTTCTTAAAATCAGAGGCCATTTGTAGGATATATGTATTTGGGTAATAGCAATTCCAGTCAATTGCTATTTAACTGTTATATGTAGCTTGTGAGACAGAGGATTTTATTTACATATTAGCCTGATTTCCTGAGGTGCACAGTGGCAAGACCTTGGTGTGGGTACTTTTACAATCGACGGCTCCAGGGGTACCCCATGGTCTGTCTGGATACACATGGGGCTTTTCAATCCATCTCTAGATTGCACCCTGGACTTGTAGCTCTGAGGATCTGGGATGGACAGGGAGGAAGCCTGTTCCCATGAAGCAGGTTCCCACAGACTCCTTGCTTTATAACGGGCTTAGAAGACAATGATTTTTTTTTCCCCACCCCCTTTCCAGCCTTGCTTCTGCCAACCGTGGAGGTAATGCAAGATAGAATTAAAGAAAAAAACACACAGGAATAGTGGATATTCAGGCTCACCACTGATTTAGCATGCATGTTCAGGTGTACTTTGATTAGATTTGAACCCAGTAAAATAGACACGCTTACCGTGGGGCGCTTCCAGATTATCCCCTGGGTTTTGAAGGAGTATGGTCCCAGGTCCCGGTAGCCCAGAGCAGAGGGACAGGCTGGGAACTCCTCATCCTTGAACAGGGTGCCAGTCTGCAGGCATTGCTGCTTCAGGGCTTCATAGTCCTGCTTCAAATACTTGATGGCATTCTTGTTGGATCCGAGCCCATCCGCCACTGCTCTTTCTTGGCACAGCCTTGCCGCGACCCTGGACATGCCTGCCCACCCTCCCAGTGTGTGGGGCAGCTCTGGCTTTGCCTCCTGGGAGAGGAGGTCAGTATAGGCAGGTAGCAGACTCGGGTGGAGCCAAGGACTGCTCTAAGTGCTCCTGCAGCCCTGAAGGGAGGAGGCACCAGAAGTGCAAATATGTGCCTGAGAGACACAGGCAGGAGCTGGCGGGAGCCACAGCCAGCATGGCTGGGATTGTGGGCACTGCCTGGTGCTGCTCCCATGCTATTTGCTTTTTTTTTTGCAGTCCCTTTTTAAAGTACTCTTTTAACAAGGAGCAAGGAAAAACAATGTTTCTGCAGACACACCTGTTTACACACAGAAAGTGATTGTGTGAGTTTAGTGTGCTGAAAGTCAGGTTTGAGGATCAATACTTTAAAAATCCAGGTGAAGATGGTTTAAACTCCTTTCCTCCTTCTGAGGTTGGACTCTGTGCTGTTGGAGGGTTGTACAGCCACAAAACCTGGAGCTGGGTAGCTATTGCTACAGCTTACATGGCTATGGAGATGCCATGGAGCTTTAAAGCTAGGGAAAAGTTGAACACATTTTTGGCTTAAGTGATGGGTATTTTCAAAAGGACCTCTCTCTTTAGTACTCTCAAAGCAGTAGGAATTTTTAATTTAATTTATTATCAATAAAAGGTGTGAACTTGACAGAATTAAAGCTGACCACTTTATATGATCTGCAGAGAGCAAGGATACAATCCAGGAGCATGACCTAGGCCAAAAATGGGAAATTGTTTCACCAGATAGAAGGTAAGCCCTGCTATTCATGCCCAGTGTGACCTTGGGCAGAAATTGTACCTTCCCCATCTCAGCTAGTGAGAAGTCAACCATCCTCTTTACAGTTTTTTGGTGATATTTCCTGCATATAAAATATTTAAAAGCAGAAAAAAATTATGGTGTAAAAGGCTGTATAAAACCTTTAAAAATAGTGGTTCCTGTTCTTGTAGTAGAAAAACTCCAAGTTTCTACCCTAGAAACCCCATTTTGTACTGACACAGGGGTGCACACCTCCCTGGAAAGGTGGTTGAAAATGTCTGTAGGTTCAGGAACTGAAGGAAGAAATATTTTCCATGGAGCACAGCTGCTCTCTGCTGTCTTCTTATATAATGGCCAGGATACCCTAGCAAAGACCACTGCATGTCCAGCAAAAAGCTGGGTAAGCAGTGACTTTGTTTGCCAAAGAGCATGTTTGATGACTACCCCTTGGTAAATTTGGACAGAAGGTGTGGGGAAGGGAAGAGAGAATTTTTAAAGACTGAAACCTGTTGAGATAAGGTGTTCAAACAGAGGCTAGCCGGGTTGCTTGTCTGCAAATATTTGAAGAGAGGGAATGAAAAAAGGAGGAAACAAAATTACTTGGTCAGTTCCAGGTGGGCACAGGTAGTGAAGGCTGGGATGAGGAAATTAATATATCAGCTACCCCAAAATTAAACTAGTACTGTTGAAATCTAGTAAAGGAGAAGGATGGCCAGCTTTTTATCCCTGTTACATTTCAATACTTCTGTGCATGTCCATGTACTGAACCAGAGTGAGGAGTGGAATAATAAAGCACTGAGGTGACGGGTTTTTCTTTACAGGGCGCAATTTTTTTTTCCTGACAAATAGACTCACTCTGAGGTACCCACTTTCTTTGCTGTAAGCGCAAGCTTTGGCAAGATTCTTCATGGAAAAGCATGGTGCTCCAGCAATTGGAAAAGGCCATTTTTATTAGGAATCTTCTGTTCATCCATGTATTTTTTCAGACGTGCACTTGAAACGCTGTGTGCTCTGTATCTCCAGTTGCCACCAGACACGAGTAGGCACAGCAGAGGTGAACATCATCAGGGTATTACAGTGTAAGGCAGAGAAATTTTGGGAGCACCTCTCCTATGAAGACAGGCTGAGAGAGTTCAGGTTGTTCAGACTGGAAAAAAGAAGGCTCCAGGGAGACCTTATAGCACTTTCTAGTACCTAAAGGGGACCTAGAAGAAAGCTGGAGAGTGACTTTTTACAAGTGCATGTAGTGATAGAACAAGGGGGAGTGGCTTTAAAGTGACAGAGAGGAGGTTAAGATTAAATATTAGTTAGAAATTCTTGACTGTGAGGGTGGTGAGGCACTGGAACAGGTTGCCCAGAGAAGCTGTGGATGCCCCATCCCTGACAGTGTTCAAGGCCAGGTCGAATCGGCCTTTGAGCAACCTGGTCTAGTGAAACATGTCCCTGCCCACAGCCCCGGAGCTGGAACAAGATGACATTTAAGGTTCCTTCCAATCCAAACTATTCTATGATTCTTTGAAATACAATCAGATTTTAATCATAAATTTCAGTATATGTGCCATAGAAATTTTTCTGTCCTGTACCTCACATTTGGAAAGCGGCTGAGGACAACCATTTTCTCTGGGGAGTATTGGACCAGATAACCACCCATTGTGTCCACCACGACCCTCTGCTCCTAGTGATCTGTAGTACAACAGTTCAAATCCATTTTCCAAGCTTGATTAACAGCAGCATGAGTTGTTTTGTGTAGAAAGTGATACATAAGCACCATCTAGAGGATATAAAAAAGAGGAAAAGATTAGACTGTATAGTTGACTGCAGCAACAGCTGTAGATATAGTATAGAGGGAAAAGCTTTCAGGTTCCCCATGACTCTCCAAAACTGCTGATGAAGTGACATTAACCCCTAGGGAAACATGAACCAGAAAAAAAATAGGTTTAACAATTAACCTGATTTTTCTTGCTTCTGGGACTTGCAGAATATTTTTGCCTGGCTCTTCCTGCTTTCCTTCCCCTCTCCCCCTTTCTTGACAATAGCAAGAGGGTGAGAAAAATAGGGAAGAACAAAATAAACCAGGAAAATGCATCATCTAGGTTTCAAAGAAAAGTCTGCAAATTTGATGCAGTCAAGACTGTTCTGTATCTTTATAGAGGAAAGTGGAAATTTTTAGAAGAAAATAACTGCCAATTACCTAGCAGTTCTAGATACATTTCTGATATAATGCATTAGAGAGAACTGAAACGACTCTCCTGTACCGCAGCACTTTACTAATGAGGATTAAAGCTGCTTAGCTGTATTGTAGACCCTGCAGCATGAAAATGGATTAGTTCAATTTAGAGAGCTTGGCTTCTCCTATTCTGGATGTATGGGCTCCTACCCACCCTATTACTGTGAAAACGGAGTGACTATTAATAGTCAAACTAGTGAGAGCTATGAAAAGTCCTAAATGTTGTCTATAAGGTTATTGTTTTAGGGGTTGCAATATTTTACCTAAGTGTTTGGGGAGAGGAGAGAAGGCTTGCTACAAGCTGAAGCCTAGTGGGTTCCCTATAGGGAAACACATTGAAATTAGCTGTGATCCTGCCTGACTGTTTTATAAATGCCAGAAAATTGTTGGTGCCTGAAGAGGAGGAACATGACATACTACAGTGGTAATGCCTGCATGCCAGGTGTGAAGCTCCTCAGCACAGCTGAGCTGATCCAGGAGTGATGGTTCAGCACTGTAAGGAGCTGGAAAGGACAGATGCACTTTTCAGGATGATCCAGGTCTTTCTGACACCTCACACTGTGTTGGCTGGGGCTGCAGCCAGTCTTGCGATGTTGAGAAAAGATCAATACCTCTCCAGATCCCAGATCCAAACAGGAAAGCAATTGCCTTGTGAAACATCATCACTGCTACTGCAAGCCTGGGAAATCATCCTCATCCTAGTGAGGACAGGGCAGTTTCTGCAAAGAAGAACAGAACCCCTGCAGGTACATGGCCCCATTTCTTCCTTCCTGAGCTGTTGGCAAGTTGCTCCCCATTGTTCCCCAATATCTGAGTATAGTGGAGGGCAAACGAGCAGGAGAGAGGATGGATATTACAAGGCATAGCAGCTCTGAGCTACTCACAACTGCTGAGTGTAGACATACAGGGAAGCAGAAACCCATCCTGCCTGGAAATCCATGCTGCAAGTGGCAACTGGATGCTTCTTATCAGGCACCAGCATGAGCTGCAGCAGTAACAGCTGAAACCACTTTACTCGTGAAATGTGAGAGTTGGTGACTCCTTTGAAGAGCTGCAGGTGTGCAGGGAGATTAAGAAAAAGTCAGATTTCTTTTTCCTTCTGAAGTTGCCTGGTTTTAGGGAGACAGGAGTGGGTAACTACTCTTGGCACTGCTATTTTACCTCAGAGCATTACACTAGTCTCACAGTCAAATGGAAATCACCCCTTTCTTTAAAGAAAATGGGCATATTGTGTGAGTATGTAGAAGATCAAGGAACTGGCTCCTGTAGTCCTCAAAAGAACTTCCCTCCCTCTAACTGTGGAGTCATCCACATCTGCTGCTGGGCTGGAAGTAGGTGACTTGTTGATTTAACTGCAGAGGTCTTTGTGGGTAGGCTGTTCAGGTGGCTGCTGGGACGACCAACTTCCCATATAGTAAGAGAATTTCTGTATTACACCAACATATCCTTGTCCGTCATTAAACCACTGGGGACACTACCATCCCTATATGTTTGGGACCAGTCTAACAAGCCATGATGTCAAATATACCTCTTCCCTGCATTGCCCCAGGTTCCTCTCCCATTGCCTAATTGAATCCTTGCTGGTTCAATTTCTTTCTGTCTTTGCTGTCATCTGTTCATCTCCTTTTCTGTTTGGCTCAGTCTCAAGTCCCACTGCACCACAGAGACTCTAAGAAAACTCTGGTAACTCTGACTGAACAGAGCAACCACATAACATGTTTGTACACACTTGATCTTCTTGACTGTTGTCCAAGCAGAGGCTGTTGACATGCAGCCAGCAGACCCCAGAGTGGTCTGTGAGTATCATCTGTGGGATGCAGGGGAGATGACTAAGAAAAGCAAAGTAATTACATTACAAACTCCAACCCAGCTTAAACTTCTGCATCTGCTGGAAAATGGCTACAGTAGAGTTCACAAACCAAAACTGGTTTTGTGGGTCATTGCTTTGAACTGACACTGTTTTTCTTTTACCCTGACTCTTGAAAAACCAGAGAAGTCTGACCTGTGGCAGCTGTACAGAATTGAACCACTGCGTGGAGCCAAATAAACACTTTTTGAGCAGCTCTACAGCTCCCAGATCTGTCTGGGATGTTGGGATACAGCATTCATTGTGAGTTACACTCCTGCATAGTGAGGTGCTGTTATCTTCCAGTCTCCTGGTTCAGTAGAAAGCCTTACCTGTAAGATAATTCAGCAGTGCCTAATGAATATAAACAGTTGAGCGAAACCATCCTCCAGTGTCATACTGTGTCCTGGTTGAGCTTCCGCACAGCCATGCTGGAGACCTTGGCTAACGATGTACCAGTAATTGGGTGCACACAGCATGTCCCAGCTCCACTCAGAGAGCACTTACAGCACATAACATTAATTGATCTGCTTCCAGTTCTCCATGTGTTATTGATTTGCCAAGTGCCTCAATATGCTGCCAAAAAAACCATTATCCTCTTTATTCAGAGAGCCCTTCTGACCATGAGGAAGAGGAGACACCTTCAAAGCACAGCAGTTTTTCTGTGCCTGGCTAGTTTTGGACAAACATGATATCAGGGCTGCTTCCTTCTATGGCCATGATCTACAGAGACATAGCTGGCTGGTGCAGCTCTCACCGCTCATATCTAACTTCAAAAAGATTTTAGGGACCTCCTCTGCTACACTAGGAACTGAATGAACAATGCTTAGCTTTTTTTCTTGTTTAATGGCAATGGCTTCCCATGAATTGTGCTAGTAGGATCCATGTTGAGTCTAGGAAGAGGAATCATAAGTGATTGAAGTCCAAAACTACCAAGTAAACAGACAGTGTTTCACAGTGCATTGGAGCACTGTGTATCAGCAATGAAGAAAAACTTCTGATTTAAATTTTCAAGGAAAATGTCCCGCCACATCTCATCAAATGGTACAGCTGAGTAATTTATGGTTCTTTGAGCATTTTTGAAACAGTAATGTTCTTTTTTTCTAGATAGGATGGATCCAAACGACTGTTTTGTGCATCCAGTGCTTGGGATACAATGTGCAAAAAGAGGTGCCTGTCCTTCCAAGGCAGCTGGGCAGCCAGCATGGGCAGTGGGTGCAGCACAAAGGGCTCTCAGCCTCTGCATGCTGCCCGGGACCGCTGCCTGGTGCCCAGCACATCCTGAGTCAGATCTAAAATATGAAACAAATGGTTTGAAATCTCCCTTGGAGGGCTGCTGTACTATGCGGGTGCCAGCAGCAGCATTTTAGCCATTCTTGGCAGCAGCTCGCTGCCAAAACGGAGACACTCCTTTTCCCTGCGGTGTATGGCGGGGGTGCGTGTTGGGGGGAACTCGTTGTGTGCGGTTCGGGCTGTGCAGGGGGTGTAGATTGTTCCATGCCGGCAGTGACGGCAACCCATGCTTTGGTTACCACCAGCAAATCAAGCTGTAAGTGATCACTACTGTGTGCAGTATTCAAGGTTTAATAGGGTGACAATACCGGGTACATATAGGTTTTCCTCTTCGTCTTTTTTTCTAAACGTACAGATTTGGAGAGGGCTAGCTCTGGTTTTTACACAGGAAATATCAGTGTTTTTAAATGGATGAGTACATGTGGCGATACGGGAGCCAGGGCTGGCGCAGGTGTGGAGCTGATGAGGCGCCCAGCTGCGTGGCGGGGATGTTCTCTGTGGCACCACGGACGTGGAGAGCGGGAGGGGAAGTTTCTTCGTCAGTGACTTCTGGTGTGGAGGGACTGGAGCAAAGCGGGGGATGCCGTGAGCAGTCGCCTGGCCCCCGCTGGAGGTGGGGGGATGACAGAGCGGCCCGGGCGGGGCTGTGCCGTGCCGTGCCGGGGCGGGGCGGTGGCGGCGGCAGTGGTGTGGCGATGGCGGGGATGGCGGAGGCCGTGGCGAAGGAGCGGGCGGCGGCGGCGGGCGCGGGGCGGCACGGCCATGCCGTGCCCTACCTGGGGCAGCACTTCGGGGCGCTGCGCCGGGAGTGCCTGGAGGAGGGGCGGCTCTTCCAGGACCCCTCCTTCCCCGCCGGCCCCGCCGCCCTCGGCTACCGAGAGCTGGGACCCCGCTCCGCCAAGACGCAGGGCGTCGTCTGGCGCAGACCCACGGTAGGGCGGCGGAGGGTGGGGGGATCCCGGGTGCATCATTCCGCGGCACCACCGTGTCGTCCGACTTTTCTTCCTCCCCCCCCTCCCCCGTAAATTTGGTTTGATTTAATTGTGCGGGGGCAGCCGGTCGGGGCGCGGCTGCCGAGCGCTGCGCGGGCAGTCCCGGGCTCAGACCCTCTCCCGCAGCCTCCCCGGGCTGCAGAATCCCGGGATTGTGAAGCTGCGGATGCTCAGAGCACCGGAGGCTTCCCTTTGACGCGGGTACAGGCTGGCAGGGTGACGTGTTCTGTCTGGAAAACAAACAAAGCAGAAAAGCCTTTATCCTCTCCATCCTGAACTCTCCGTGTGGACAAACCGCTTGCCTTGGGCAGCGTTCGGGGCTGTCGCTCCGGGTTAACTCTTTCCCTTAGCAGCAGAGCGTTGAGCTGACCACCGTGTGGTTTCCTGCCGAAGCAGCCCTGCCAGCCACGGGAGCCGTGGGGTCAGGTGGACTCCGAGGTGCCTAGGTGCTGCTGAAAGACTTTGACCTAGTCAGTGGCTGGGAGGTAATAGCAGAGTGGTGTGTGCACGTGTGTGAAAATGCAGTGGACCCCCGGCACATACTGTGAAGTGAGATGGCTGCCCACCAGCTTTGGTCACCAGCTCCCGTTCTCACTGTGCTTGGTGCGTCTGGTGCCCATACTCTCATTCCTGACCTGCTCCATCTCTGTGTTGTTCATCTGCTGTGGTCAGTGGCTTGTTTAATTTGCTGCAGGTGGGGCCTTGTTGCCTCCCTTACCTGTGGCTATATGTAACGCAAGGCTTGTTTTGTTCCCAGGAGCTGTGTTCCAGCCCCCAGTTCATAGCAGGTGGAGCCACTCGCACTGACATCTGCCAAGGGGCCTTAGGTAAGGTGGAGCCAGAAAGCTGAGTTTTCCATGCAGGTGCTGCCCCAGGACACCGTGGTTTATACTAGGCTGTACATGTCCTTTTGCATCCTACCACCTCTCTGCACATCAACTCAGACCCTTCTTGCCTTTCCTTGGCATTTGCAGGTAGGGACCATGTGCGTTTGGCCACTGAGCACAGCCTTTCTGCATGCACCAAGCAGGGATGACACAGACTGTTTTCCTGCTGGCTTTTCTGATCATGACCAGTTCCTTTCACGATCACATCCGTGTGCCTGAAAGGAGACTGACTAATTTCTGCCTTGAACAATCTGCTTAGAAGAGCAGTTGCATGCGTAGTGGGGCGTTTCTTTCCGCAGTGGAACAGAGTGCTGCTGAGCAGGGGGGACCCCCCCGAAATCTGGAAAGATGCAGTACAGAGAAAACAAGTTGTGTAGGGGATTCCCTGCTGGTGATCAGCTCTCAAGGAAAACAAAACCAGGGTGTTTCAGGAGGGATGGGCCAGCCTGTGAGCTGAAGCTTTTGCCATGGCTTCTGCTCAGTTTGTGCAATGGCAGCCTCAGTCGGGCTCTTTTGGAGGAGCCCTGGGAGCTGCAGGGAAGCCCCAGGGGACAGCTGGGAGTGAGTGGCTTAGCCTGGCTATTTGTGCACAGGTATTCCGATCTGGAAGCCTCTCTCCTGCCTTGCCTGCCAGAGGGGGTTTTAGGTGAGTGCCACTGTGGCTGTCCACCCAGAAGGCAGCGTGGAGGCTGGCAAGAGGGATATCTGTATAAACATGAGAAGAAATAAAGTGAAGTGAAAGCAGTAGGCTCCTATTTATTCCTATTATAGCGGTAGTGAGAGGGTTTTGGATTAGACAGCACAGTTGAGGAAAAGCTCTTGGTGTAGGGAAACATGACTAATACGTGCTGTGTGTTCTGTTTGTTCACTTTCAAACAGCATATTAGCCACATTGTGGCTTCTTAGTTTCTAGTCCTGCTGCTATTTGTGTTTTCATGTCCAAAAATACAACAGACAGGGAAGCTTATATTTTGTGCTTCTGTTTTCATTCAGAAGTTTTTAGGTTAGTGCTTTGACAACTAGGTACAATTTGTGTAAAAAGCCCTGACAATAAAAGTACTTAGATTATTTACTTAGTTCTCCTCATGCCTCAATACCGTCTGTGCCATGGGTTAGGCTCTGTTGTGTCATGGTTTGTTGTCATGTCACCAGCTTCTTTTCCATGCCTTCTCCACCCAATATCATGTCTCCCACCATGACTGTTTTGGCATAAAGAATGTCCCGGTGCTTAACACACGTGCCAGACATCTGTCTTCTCTTTTTATTGTGAAACTTTGCAGCTATGGAGTTCTTCAACTAGAAATGACAGTTTATTGTAATGCCATTTCAACATCTGGCATTTTGTAGAGATGCTAGTTTCTGAAGGCACTTAGTTGCTTCCTGCTGTCTGCAGGCTTCCAACTTTTCTATCAAAATGCTGTGACAGCAAGAGCATGGGAATGAAAGATTTGTAACTTCATTTTCAAGTTGTGAATGCCAAACCCTGTTTTAGACTGATAAAAGCATTTTTTGCCTTAATGGTCTTTGGACCAGTCAGATGTTCCCATGAGGTTGTATGGTATCACCAAAGGATGTGAACTCACTCACAGCTGGTATTATTTTACCTCCTCAAACTATATTTCAGTTGGACGTTGTTACTGCTCTTGTTTGTCTTAATGTTTTCACCATGACTAAGTACTGTGATGACTCGCCCCACTATCTTTCCGTGAATCTGGGCAGGATTTTGGTATTGTGTGACAGTCCTGTGGTTGATTAAAAATTAGATGCTATGGATCTTATCTCTGTATTGCCATTGAGTTACTAAGAACCTGTATGGAATCTCTGCTTTTTACACAGTGAGGATAGCAGATGTACTGTGCAAATGCTTTTTTTTATTATTATTTTTGTCACTGCCTCATCTGACACCAGCATTTATATCAATACAATGTAAAGCCTCCATTTATTTGAATTTTGTGTGCTGACATTGATGTCCCATGGCATTTTAGGATGTTACAGAGAAGATTGCACTGGAAGATGTCAGGTGCTTTGGAAAACCTGTACTTTTCATTATGCTGGGTTTTTTTCCATAGGAAGCTTTTGTAGCCTTATTTATCTCCCAAAAGGCTTGATCACAAAGCAACAGGCTTGTACCCATGTGGAGCTTCACTGCTGTTGCTAAGCCCTTCAGAACATCTGGGAGTACTACAGGGACAGATGAGGCATCCAAAACACATGTACCCATCAGTGCTGCAACAGGCTTCTTGGCAGAGGATGTGTAACCAAACAGCTCAGCTAATGAGCAGAGATTCCTTTTAGCCCAGGAATCTTTGGTCTATGGGCCAGGTGCATAAATTTGTTTCACTGTTTTTGACCTGGGCTATATGATACTGCAATGCATATAAGGCATAGCTGATCATCAGTGCAGAAAAGGTTTGGGGTTTTGGTTGGTTTGTTGTTTGTTTGTTTGTTTCTTTCTTTCTTTTTAGGTGAAACTTTTAAAGGCAAGTATTTGGAGTTAGTTTTGCAGTATCAGATCTGAAGTCAGTGATGTTTTTTGGCTCCAAATGACAGCACGTGGGATGTGGTGACTCATTACAGCAGAGGGGAGGATCCAAAGCCAGAGAAACCTTGTTCACCCTTAACCGCCTTTTTTGGAGGGAGTGTCACCATGGTATCACAACACTGGAGTGTAAACAGCACAGTGTCTCTCATCTGCTGTTTGGATGCAGGTGTCTCCTCCTTACATAAAAATGTGTGAAAAAATAACTAATTGACTAGGACGAATTTAGGAAATTAGATCCATGGTTTTCTCATGCTGACAACCACTCCACTGTCAGTGGGTTGCCACAAACTCATGTTTTTAATCAGAAAGCTTCCTGGATTCGTGTGGTATTAATATAAATACATTCAGTAGCTGTTAATCTATAGCTATGAATGTTTTAATAGTGACTAGTCTGTGATTGGCAGAATGTGCATTAGAATGTACTTTTTTTTTTGACCCCATATTTTTACATGGGCTGTGCAGAGACCAGAGGAGCTGCCTTTTGCTTACAGCCCTTCAGGCACTTCCTGGGTGTGTTTTGCCTGTCTTTTCTTTCTGGAATGGCCAATTTTAAGCCCTTAAGGCTATTTATGTGTGCCTTGCAGTTACTTTTTTTTTTTCCTAACATTCTAGTTGTAGCTGGAGATTAGGTAAATGCAGAGATAAGGGTATAGGAATAAGAAGTAAAACATTGAAAATGACAAAAAGGAAGCAGGACAGGAAAAAAATAGTACTTCTTGTCCGTATGAATACACTACAAATAAACTCACAGCCTGTGAGTTTTTTATTCTCTCTTCTTTTTCTACCTATTGTTCATTTACAAAAATTCTCTATGATTAACATAGCCTAGCTAACACTGCTTTCAAAGTCTTTTTATAAGTAACCTGTCTGTTAGCCT